ACTTAAGCCGATGCGCAGAAGCACTCAAAGACAGAGTAAGAGGCGACAAGAGGGTTTGAGTAGGGATGTTCTCAAGATATAAGCTTGAAGAAGTCATCAGCCAAGTGAACGCGAAACGCGCAACTTATGCAAATGAACAAAACCTTGTGGTAATTGCAGGTGTTCCAAACAAAATCTTAAATAAAAAGTCGGCAGGACCAGCCCCCACAGTGGCGAAAATAGTCGATGACATGTGTGCCTTTTTTTAAATGTTTCGGTAGTGATATGCACGATACTGGAGATTCTGGCGCGTGACCGTGACTTTCGAAGAGCGGTTGTCGATGCAAGCAAAGAGATATGGCAGATGAGAGAAAGCCTTTGAGGTACTGGAAATAAACAAAGAGGTGGGGTGGTTTTCAGTAACACAGAATTTCCTTCAATAGGAGGCTAGATCTTGAGGCAGGTTAGCGATCTTCAGCTCGCGCGGTAGCTGTTTTAGGAAGAACACGGGCCCTTTGTGGTCCAGGATGGCTAGCAACGAGAAAAGCAACCAAGAAGACTCTTTGACAGGTGTTACAGAAAGATACAATTCCAAAGTGCAGCAATATCTTAGACAAAAAGATTTCGGGGAAGATATCGACGTATACACGAGGGCCGAGCAAGTTCAGATGTAGGGTTTAATAACGTGCAGGGTGTCAGGAAAAGGTTGAAGTGGGGAGAGGTAGAAGAACAGTTAAGGGAGGAAAAGCTGATGGTGTATAGGGTTTGTAGAAACACATCATAGGTACACAGAACAACCACCTAGAAATCCAGACTATGTATGAGAATTCGGGCGGTCATTCACAAGAATACACACTCGGAAATTGTCAAGCAGAAGTTCCAGAAACAAATTATGGCTAAAATAGAAAGTGAAAGGGACGAAGATGCTTCTGCGTTTTGTATACTTGTGGACAGGGGCAAAAACCAGAGAAGAAAACAAAAAATAGTGCAGTGCATAAAAACGGCATTAGAAATTTACGAGAAGTGTACGAGGTAATTACATTAGAAAACATGTAGGCGTACACAGAAGATATGGACGAACACACTGGCCCAACAGGCAGAATTCTGATGGACATGTGTGAAAGGCATGATTTAATCACTTGCAACAATACCGAGAAGTCCGAAGAGCAGATAACATGGGAGGTGAGAAGGCTAGAGTCGACGATTGATGATGTCATATGGAATGTATGATCGCCTACGGATGATGAGCATAGATGAATATCTATGGTCAGAAGCTTAGGAAGCGATTATTTAGGCAGTTTGGAAGAAAAATTGTAATGGCAATGAGGGCATTATAAGCAACCACAAGACAATAGTATTTCAGAAAACCAAACAGAAATAACTTTTGTAGAGATTGAGAAAATAATCACTGAGGATAATAAAACAGAGTGGACGTACACAAATCGAACTGGATTGGTTGAGTTAGAGCTTGTAAAGGTACGAGTGAAGTCAACCGGAAAAAAGAGACACCAATCTAAGAGCTGGTGAGAGGAGAATATGGTCGGGTGAGGAAGAGTCATATTAGGGCTTCAGCAAGCCGCCAGAAAAAAAACACAGGTATTATAAACAAAGGGATGAACCGAAGGATTATTTTAAAAAAATTGTACAACGTTTTAAGTTGCAGAATGGAAGCGTCCAGTCTTATAAGTGAAAAGATTAAAAAAAAGGGGACTGAAAATGAAGGGAGTAAGCAAAAACAATAGAAACCAAATGCAAGGTTTTGGAACCACCTCCCTTCTTTGAGTAATAAGACAAGCATACAACAGACGTTTATAACTACAGTCTAAGGGGTTAAATTGGAAGTGGTTGGGGCAACGGAATATATGAGAACAATGGTGAGAGAAATTTGTAAATGCAAAAAAGCGCTGCATGCACCATACCAGATGAGGATGGACGAACTGGCACAGTGGCTTTACTGGAACAACGAGAGTGGGAAAGGGCAGATAAGAGGGTCCCTATTAGCACATCAACAGGCCCTGATGTTATCCCAATTATGCTATTAAAGATCTTAGGACAAAATCCTTAGCAAACATTAGGAGAGGCAGCGACGAAAGCAATATGGTTGTTGAAGCTCCCAATGAGTGGAAACAAAGCAGGATGAGCATGATCTAAAAAGAAAAGGGGGACAAAAATAAAAAAAAACAGCCAATGTCCTATAAACATGACATCAGTAGTTCACAGGCTGGTGATGCTGATTTTAAAGGTAAGACTACAGACATGGGTGCAGAGTGAGGGGGTGCTGGGAGAAGTACTAATTACGTTCTATAAACAAAGAAGGTTGGAGGACAATCTGTTTTATTGGTGCAGTGTATCTAAATAGCGAAAAAAACACACAGGTCTCTGTGGTTGGCTTTTTTAGATATCGAGAGTGCTAACGTGGTGTGTTTCATGAAGACTTGTGGGGAATGGTGAACACACTAGATGCGGAAGTTGTAATAACTAATGTTCTAAAGGATATCTATAAAAGTAACAAGGTAGTGATAAAATGGGAAGAACGTATATCTTAAACTATAGCGGTACAACGCGGGATTTCACAGGGATGTCCCTCGTCATCTGTTGTTTATACTGCATTTACAAGGACTAGAAGACAGATTAAAGAATGTCCACTCGTCTTTAGTCTTTATTTTGTCTAGCAAAGAAAATGAACTTGGAACAGTATTTGATGTATGTAGTTTATATTGTAATAATGGCTGAGAATAAGGAAGATCTGCAGGTATCGATAGACATCTGCGGAAATTGGAGATAGGTTAAATTAAAGTTCAGTTGAGAAAACTTGGCAATTATGATATTTAACGATAAAAAAAGCAGTTACCATAAAATACAGGAAGTCACGCAGGAAGTAGTGGATAAATACAAATATTTGGGCGTATGAATAAACAACGGGGCTGAATACCTGAGGGAGCGCGAAAGGTACTCAATGTCCAAATGTAGCAGGAATGCAGCTGTAATGAAAAATAAGGCACTGTGGAACTATATTATGTAAACGTTGTGAAAGGAATTTGGAAAGGTGTCATGGTCCCGTGTTTGACGTTCGGCTATGCCGTCTTGTGCATGAAATCAGAAGCTAAAGCAAGACTGAAAATTAAACAACGTTGCATAGGTAAACTTGCTTTGGGAGCACACAGGAATACTCTAAATCAGGGGGTACAGGGCGACATGGAATGGACATCGTTTGAGTGGAGGGAAACTAGCAGGAAGATAGAATTTGAGGAATGACTGAGAAAAATGGGAGAGGAGCGTTTGGTTAGGAAAGTTTTCAGTTACTTGTACATAAAGAATGTCGGTACTGAATGAATGAAACGAACTCGAAAACTGTCAAGCAAATATTTAGGTAACAGAAGAATACCAAGCCAAAAGGAAACATTGGTTAAGAAGAAGGTGAAGAAAACAGAGGAACATGTGGAAAATGGTAATCCTCACGAAATCATCACTGGAAACCTACCGAACTTTCAAGCTGGAAATTGCAAGAGAAAAGATCTACGATAGTTCCGGGGGTAGTTCTCTGCTCTTCGAGGAAGGAGGTGTTATGTGGGCCAACACGTACCGAGTCAAACACGAAGGCACAAACACGTTATGTAGTGCATGTGGAGAGGAAGAAGTAACGGCTGAACATTTGATAGTGTTCTGTAAAGGGCTCCACCTTATAGTCGAAGGTAATGGCACCGATTTTTTCAAAGCATTGGGGTTTAGGGACAGTGAAGGCAAAATAGACTTTAAACGTGTAGAAATAACCAGGAGGAGGCTAACTGATTGGTGGCTACAATCGAGGCGCGAGTGAAATTCAATTCCTAAATACACAGTGGTAAAACTTGACTTTAGGCGTCTCTCATAATCAAAATAGAGGTTTTGGAACGTTAAACCCCACAAATCAATCAATCAATCAATCATTGACTTTATGGCTAGGTGGCGTGAGCCACCGCCCGATCTAAAGGGCACAGCCAGATACATCCATCCATCCATCCTATCCATCCATCCATCTACCCATCCATCCATCCATCCATCCATCCATCCATCCATCCAACCATCAACCATTGCCAGCTGAGGGTTCACCCCTCCATTAGAAGGCCCAGTCTCATGCTTATGCCACAGTGGCTTGTCGCCGTTGATCACTCTTGGTGCGTTTACCGTACCGTCGGGACACTGAAGTGTTTCGATGACCGCCACCACCCAACGGCCCTCTGGAAACCCCGGGATGTCGGTGCCGCCGCAAAGTTGTTCCCGCGTGAGGACCCGTATGTGAACCTCTTCGCATCACGTCGTTGTGTTCTCCACATCGCAGTGAAAGTTCCAGCACTAAATTCGACATTTTGTACCACCTCTGAAGGCTCGTAAATGCCCCGCGGGCTCTGTGCAGTCTAAAAATGCCATAGAGGCAGTAGCGCGGTGAGCAACATGTTAGGGAACTTAAGGTGAAAACAAATTCTTTGAAACAAACGCTTTGATGCCGTTTAATTGTAAGTCTGTTAAGCGCCCCAATATTTACCACACTGATGTGTTTGATTTACATTATTTATTTATTTAAGAAGCCTGCAGACCTTTAAGCAGGATAGCGAAAGTACAAGCAAACAGTACTAAGTGCGGTGGTATCGAAAGGAATATACTAACAAGATGAATTTACCAGTAAGTAAACAAGCACTAATATTTGTGAAACAATGAAAACAAATTTACAGAATTCAGAGATCAACATTACATAAATATCTGAACCATCCTTAGGCACTGTACATGCGGACAGCACAGTTAGCACTTACATAACAATGTATAAGACAGGAAAAATGATTAATATGCCTAATCCTGCACAAAAAGATTATACAGCAACTTTTTAGATATAGCTAATACGTTAGACTAAAGAAGTAGGAACAGTTCATTACTTCCTAGTTTGTTCTTCTCTTTCTGTGTGTCTTTTCCTTTAGCGTCAAAGAAGTCAATTAGGTACATTGTTTCAAAACAGAGTGTCTCGTGATCGACAATCTTTGCTTCGTTACCTTGAATAGCTTTACGAGTCCTGCACATACACGAGGCGTTTCGATGCCCAGGGTTCCGCAGCCTTGTCGAAGTATGGTGGTGATTGCAGACTCCGGCCAGCCTTTGTGTAAGTACCCTCGGATGGCGGAAGTGGACAGCTTGCAGATGCTGCAATAGGAAAAGCCACTGCTGGTAGTCGGTGAGGCTGCATCCTGCGCAAAGTGGTCATAGGTATACATTACTTCGAAATACGTTATAAACTCGTACAAGCTTTTCGAACAAGCTAACGTTCAACGCTGCGAAATGCACATGCAATCCACTTCCTAAATGCGATAATATTATGCGAAGTTGACAAATAGCATGGCAATGTGATTGATAGCTTCCATTTTAGCCATCTTTCTGTAAGCTGGAATGCATGTTTGTAATTATGTGCGTGAGCGTAGTGGGATGGTTTTTAGAAGAAAATGGTGGAAAAAGACTTGTGATTATGTGCATGAGCGGAGTGGGATGGTTTTTAGAAGAAAATGGTTGAAAAAGACGACATTCATCACGTGACGCACGAAAGATGCCACCAAGAAGCACGGTCCACGGGAGTTCAAAAGAGGAGTTGCAGGGCAGAGGTGGCCTAATAAAGACGGTGTCTAGGGTGCGGGAGTGGTGGCCAGCCGAATTCATGGCTAAAAGGCACCGAAACACCACCCCGGGTGCCCCATCAAGCTTACCCGACACCGGCATGTTGCAGTCGTCCCAAAGACATGTGATTCAAGACCCTCCTTTGACTCCACGATTACGAGCAAGCATTGACTATTGAACGCCGAAAGGGCGTCTGGCCAATAACCTCCATTAGGTTCGGCGTCTACCGCCGGGTCATCTTGCGTCGCCTCTTGTGTGCTCACGCGCTTATGCCCACATCTTCTCACCTGTAACTGCTCATCAACACCGCTTGTCTCTAGGCAGAGGTGCTTTGGCTCGAGCGTGAATAAAGAAGAGTTTCGGAGGCTGAACGTTTTCTCACTATATATATTGCCACGTTCCTTTCCTCAAGTTTTGCAAGCACCCGTCGCACTATGTTCAGCGCAAACCGTGCTTATGATGTTGAAGAAGCTTCGAGGCTTTAGTATATCGTTTTGAAGGATTACGCTCACTTCGGGAACGTGACAGAATATTCGGGAACCTAGGTCGCTGCTAGCGATAACGCTATAATATTCTATGACAAGAATATAAATGCCAAGTGCTTCACCGCTTGTCAGTTGATCGACGGCCTATGCTCCGTTCGCCGCTATCATTGCAAGCCTGCTACCGTAATCCGACTTTCCGTTTACTGAGCACAGGTTCGCCCAAATAAACAGGGGCCGAATTCGCAAAGCTTTTTAATGGCTACGCATTTTCTTAGCCGAAAATTCTCTTATCTAGAGGGATCACTATAGCGTGACTCCGAATTTAACTTTTATGGCACTTAAGAGGGCGAGGAGGACACACGATAGCCGACGAAACGACAAGGAAAGAAAGAAGTTTGTGCTGATAATATCAAGATAGCATGCAAGGCGTCTATCTAGCATGGAGAGTATACGATGATAGCAATGATTTGCTGCATCTAAGTTTCAGTTCCGCGAGCGTCTGCTACAGCGCTTACGGGATGCCGTGTACGTTGTAATAGAGGTCTTGCGGTGCTGTGCAAAGCCAAGCACTCACCTTTCATCAATGACAGTAGCTGAAAAAGGAATTGCTCGATGGCCTTCAGCGATTTCCCATGCACTATCTCGCCAAGTACAAGTAAACAACACTCCAGGTGCACCACATCAATAAAACCACGCATAAATCGATGCATGCAGTGTTTGAAAGTGTGCTTCAAATGTCTCCCCCTGTTTAACGCGACCAGTTACCTCACATTTTAATGAAGCTGCACTGCTGCTCAACTTATTCGGTGTAATCGGGCACGATATAGCGGCGAACGTAAGGGTGTTTTGTTCCTAGACCTTGACAATATCCAGGAGTGACGTTTGTGCCTGCGGACGAATTGTGCAGAAATATAAAACAGCAGTAGCCAAATCAAATTTGGAGCAGAATTTCGCAGGTTCCATGCACCGCAGCATTTTTATAATGCCGCAGTGCGAGAATGTGCATACGTTTACGTTTGTATATCTGTCTACGTAAAACGAGGAAGACTCATCCGTAGGTATCTTCGGGCTAATGCTTTTCACAAAACTCGGTGGAAATATTTCGTGCAGACATCATCGTCGAGAGACGTTATCACATGTGCGAAAAGAACTACAAAAGAGAGAGGCTCTCGTTTCGTCTCCTAGAAAGCTTGAAATCGATAGATAATAAAAACAATTTTCTGGCCCAGCAGACGTCAGGGAAAGATTTCGCAAAGCAACGTCGGATGCTGGGAGAGCATAAAAAGCGGAGTACGCGTTATATGGTAGCGACAGCCACACAGAAAGCGAGATTAAATGTGATTGTCTTTAGATGTGAGAATCAATGCTAATTAGGAAAGTTGTGAGTTAACGAGCTAATTCTTCCTTAAATAACTATAGTGGAAACAAGCTGAGTATTCATCTAGTGAAAGTGACACTAGTTACAGTGAATTCATATTAGTTGATTGGCATTGTCACAGGCCGATACACTTTCATTTTTTTATATTTGGCACACTATAGGAAGGTAGCGTACGTTAGAGCCGGCTATCCCAACATCACGACAGTAATGTACACGATAAATAGTGCACGGTTTTACAGCCACACTTTGTGGTTTCCATCTTCTAGTGACCTTGAGGAAAGGCATTCTAATTATTTTTTCTATTTTGACCAAGTTTAACCGCACGTTTTTCCACTTGGTGTCATTCGAAGCATTGACGATATATCAGCAATATGGTCAATGCAAGCACTGCTGCAGCGGACGAGCAGTTACAACACTCAGCTACAATCTACGAGGTACTGCGTTTGATATACAATGTCACCAAGAACTTTTTTAAGAGGTTGCCCGGCCTGAGATTATTCGTGGCGGCGGGTTCTTATTTCTTAAGAAGTGGCTTTCACGCTCTCTTCTTTCCCTCCCCTTTTCACCCAAAAGCGCTGTGCCGTGTTCCTTCATAAATTGCATACTTCAGGGATCGTAACTTGCCCCTCCATCCTCTCTTATCGCAAAAGTGCCCAGTGCTGAAATATCAATATAATGCCTGGTATATTACTTTTCACGTGTTTTGATATTCGACCAGTGATCAGTCATCACAATGTTTTGAAAAAAATCTAGACATGCAGCGACCTAATTGCTTGCGGCCAAGTTGACTGCCTTGGTCGGGGGACGTTCTGGTGCTAATTTGGTGGGCATTATTACATGCAGCAAGGAAAAAGAGCACGGAGAGTTAGAGAGGACTTAAAAAGAGTGATTAATTTGGGTCATCTCTTCCGCTATCTGTCATGATGCGCGATGCAGTTTAATGTCGCTGTAAATGGTTAAAATGAACTATAGCAGCTAATACAGTTCTGCTGAGAGGATTCCCTACTGTCCAGAGTGGGACAGAAAAATGTCAATTTCATTTGTGTCATAGAGAGAAACTCGGCTTTTGGCTACAACAATAAAGTCTTAAACCGACGTTTATATCTATTAAGAACAGTTCCAGTACAGATGAAAGATGCATGGACAAAATTCATGTATTCAGCTTTACTAGGTTTGTGAATTTAACAGTAATCGCCAACCAAAATTACAATACACATAAATATCACACACTTATACAACTACGGGTGATCGCTTGTTTCTTTTGTCAAAAATTGATTTGTTGAAATCGACACATTTGACCAACGCCATGTGTACAAGATATGCCATCTGGAGTATCTCTGCTCTAAACTAATATGCGCTGGCTGGTTCCATTTTACCCAATTTCTTGCTCATGAGTGCACGTTGGCAAATAAAACAACTTTGAATGCACATGGTTTGTGTACGATTACACCTATTTTATGCAGTAAAAAACAAATTGATATGTATAATGGCCCAGAAAAAAAGAACTAGAAACACATTCAGCCAAATCATTACCAAACTTACTCATTAATCATAAATGGATTCTCATTTAAAAGTTGCATGCATACATACATTCATACATACATACATACATACATACATACATACATACATACATACATACATACATACATACATACATACATACATACATACATACATACATACATACATACATACATACATACATACATACATACATACATACATATTACAGGTGTATGTATAAATAATACACGTGTAAATATTAGGATGTATGGCTATAAACAACAATGTTAATACCAATTTGAATATACAGGAAGTAACTTACGAGAGAAATTCACCATCACTGTTATGTCTGAACTCGGTGTTTCTCGAACAATCTCAGAAAAGCTTGATGCGTTGTTTTGGTGTTGCCCAGTTACAAGCAGTTTTCATAAGAAGTACAAGAATAAAGCTCTTGATAATGTCATGCTAAAAAAATGGCTGTGCATCAAAATTCCGTACATGTCTGCATCATTACTCTGTTTATTTACCTAGCTTGGCTCGTTCACAACACACTAACATAGTATGTTAGGACACTTGGGCGAAAAATCGGCACAGCGCAAATAAATTGAAGAAAACGAATGAATAATACAATTCTAAGCTACTAAGCTTCTCGATGCAAGCAGTGTTTATATTGACAGCTATGGACCTCATTTCGCTTCCCGAAAACACTCCTCAAAAAAACTTCGAAGTTTGCACATCAGCACAAATCATATACAGCTATCTGTTAGTCTGCTTGAAAAAAATTCAGTTCACTGGTGGGCAAAGACTGTACACTAAATGTGTGAAGTGATGGACCAGTGCACAGCATGTATGTCTTGCTGCTGGCCTGAACTGCGATGTTGCTCAGCACACATGTGTAAAATCATTACTAATACTATTCCACTACAACGTAATTATGCGTCATTTGCATGAAACTTGGACCACATTAAATAATAAAAGCACAGTTGGCTTAAACATTTAAAAATGAAACTACGTTTTTATAGAGTTTTCACAACTCAACAGAGAATAGTATTAATGGTTATAAACACACTGTTACTTTCATTAACAAAAAAATTTAGCATGCCAGCTACAATAATAGAGTACACCAGTACCATTATATGGCTAAACAATTGTACAGGCACCCAGGAAAATATAAGTAAATACAAGCTATAGCTACACATAAATTAAAATA